TGGTTGCCATCCTAATGTGAGGCTTCATTAATACTGCCAGTTTATACTTATTAGGTCATAGGTATGTTTCCTGTTTTTTCCCCACACACAGCACTAAGTCAGATCACCTCTGTACCCTTTTCTCCCATAGTCCTGGCACCCAGCCCAGTCTTCTGCCACCACCTGCTCCCTTTTCGTTCCCTCACTGTCCCCGGGGGCTATGTTCCAACTTTCCAGATCCCTCCTTTGGTCTCATCCCTCCCGCTAAGGAAGTACTGGCCACGTGCTCCCACAGGCCCCTTCCTCCCAGCCCCATGTCCTCATCTTCAGGCAGAAAACCCCACAGACCAGCTTCTGTACAGAGGTCACTTTAGCAGGCACCCTACTGGTGAAGAGATACCATTTCCTATTAAAGGGCCAAGATCTGGAGCAAGGGATGGGGCTACCACGACATGGAACCGAGAGACTCTGCCCCACTGCCATCTAGACCCAGTGTGTGAAGAGAGCCGCACCATGACGTCAGCGCATCGCAGCTGGGAGAAGGTCAGGAAGGAAAGATCAGATGAGACAGCTTTCTATCCACCCTCAGATATCCATCCCATGAGCCTCCTCTGTCACCAGGGGCTGAGGCCTCAGGGCCACCCTCAGTCAGGTAGGACACGGGGCTCAAGGCCACACAAGCCACAATCTAGGCATTGCACTTAGAGCAGGGACCTGGCAGAACAAGAAAAGGACATTTTTTTTTAAAGATTTTATTTATTTATTTTTACAGAGGGGAAAGGGAGGGAGAAAGAGAGAGAGAAACATCAATGTGTGGTTGCCTCTCACATGGCCACCACTGGGGACCTGGCCCGCAACTCAGGCATGTGCCCTGACTGGGAATTGAACTGGTGACCCTTTGGTTCTTAGCCCACATTCAATCCACCGAGCTACACCAGCCAGGGCAAAGAAAAAGACATTTATTGAATGTCAACAGTATGTCGAGTAGCAGATACACAAAGGTCACCCCAGGCCTAAAAAGCTTGCAGGGACAATGGGATGGGACACAGGGAAGGCAGATGAGCCAGAACAAACTGCGATGTCCAGGTCCAGAGGAATAGTGATGGGGAGGATGGGGAGTTAGGGGAGGCCACGTGGGAGCAGGCCCTGTATTGAGCCTCTAAACATGAGGATGATCCAGGGAAGGGCATGGATGGGGAGGGCTTAAAGGGATACTGGATGTTCTTTCTGAGGCTCAGCAGCTTAAAATCAGTGAAAGCAGTGCCCTATTTTGGCTTCCCTTAAAAGTCCATGTGAATGTGCCCTGGCTAGTATGGCTCAGTGTTTTGAGTACTGGCCTGTAAAGTGAAGAAGCACCAGTTTGATTCCCAGTCAGGGCCCAGGGCTCAGTTGCGGGCCAGGTCCCCAACCGGGGACATGTGAGAGGCAAACACTCATTGATGTCTTTCTTCCTCTCTTTCTCCCTTTTCTTCTCGTCTCACTAAAAACAAACAAACAAAGATAGATAGCTAGATCCATGTGAACTTTACACTAGAATCCTTGTTCTATATTTAATACAAAAATGTTTTTCACAGAGGCCACACTGAGAGACTAAACACACTGATTTAGAAAGCTGGGTGAAGCCCACCTCTAGAGAGAGGTGCTCAGGGGCCAGGAGCTCAGACGCACACAGAACCCTGACCGCCCAGAGCTGGGCACGCTTCCACACTCCGGAACACACGCCAGCACTCTGGGGCAACCAGAACCTGCCAGTCACTCCAGGCACACCTGTTGCTGGGCTGGCCTCCGTGAGGACACGCGCAACCACAGAGTGGGCTTTAGAAGGGATCCTCGTCATTCTGTACATCTCCCATGTGGCACAACTCGGAGCCCCAGGTCTGCCCTGGCATCACCAGGCTCCGAGGGTGGGACACTCAACCCAGCAGCTGCCTTCACACTGGTCCCACAGCATTCCCTCCCAGGAGGGATAAGCCACAGAGCCAACTTCCCGGGCCTGCCTCGAGGCCCGGAGCTGCGGGTTCACAGGGGAACCCCGAGATGCCACAGAACAAGGGGCCTTGAGTGACACTCTACACCAGCCCCTGCCAGTGACAAGCCGGCTTGTCCGGCTTTGACCGATGAAAAGTTCCCCTGGAGTCAAGTCAGCATGCGCCAGCTTAATTCTTCTTGGGGACCTGTTGTGATTGGATGGCCTCATTAAGAAACACAGCCGAGATGGCAGGGTTAGGACAGAACAGGCAGCAGCCTGTGGGAGCTGTGCCCTCATCGCTCAACTGCCAGAAGAAGATTTTGACCTCTGCAGGAAGTGCCAGGGCCCCTATGCCAATACCCGCAGGTCCACAGACCCTAACGACCAGCTGCAGCCCAGAGGACGGCAGACTGGCTCTCACGTGAGAAACACTGTCAGAGCCACGTGTCCGAGCATGAGCAGCCTGCTCCAGAGACGAGGAGCACTGGCAAGGGTGGGCCGGGGACAGGCGCCCTCAGACATGGCTGCTGGCGAGCCACCAGACCAAGACTGACACCTGTGCCAGGCCTCGACCCCCTCGGCACCTCACGTGCTTGTGCTAATGTGGAAATAAAGAAAAATACAGAACACAGAAATACAAAAAACCCAAAGTCAGGGGTCAGGCTCACATGTGCACAGCACAGAGAGGACCGTCTCGGTGACATCTGCACTAGCGACCGGGCCGTGACCGAGGCACAGCTGTCGGCAGGCCCCACTAACATCACTCTGTTACTCCTTGAGCCTGCATCAGCCCCAGGAGGAGACCCTGATGATGTGCACCACCCCTGAGGTGGTCACACTCAGACAGCAGGGACGTGGACCAAGACGTAACAGTGGCCAGCCCTGGCCGGTGTGGCTCAGTGGATTGAGCGCCGGCCTGCAAATCGAAATGACGCGGGTTCAATTCCCAGTCAGGGCGTGTGCCTTGGTTGCAGGCCAGTGTTTCTCTCTGACCAGGGCTGGGTTGGCAGCATAGCCTGAAGCATTTGCTCCTCCTTGCCATGACTCTGCCCTCAATCCCAAACCTTTCCTCAGTGGATTAACGGGAAAGCCAGCAGTGGTGAAATCTAAGTGGGGAACGGAGTGCAGAGCCTGCCCGGTGTCTGTTGATGTTGTGTGGACCTACAGCTTGCAAACACAGAAGAGAATGTAGCTGGAGCATTGTCGGGACACCTGGGTGAAGTTTAAATAATGTCTAATAATGTCCTTTACAGCAGGGCTGTTGGAGAAGAGGAAGAAGATGGGGAAATGACAGAATAGCATCCTTTTATGGGGAATGTTTTAAATATATACTTCTAGACAATAAAAGTTTGTTTACAAAAAACAGACAAACACTGGCTGGGTGGCCAGACTCCTGGATCTCTCTTCCTCCCTCTTGCTGTCCTTTCCCCAGTTTACACGACCAGCACGTGCTCCATTTACAGAACGGTAACTGGGTTTCCCCCTCCCTCCCCTTCCTTTCCCTTCTCTCCCCTCTCCCTTCCGGTTCCCCTGCCCTTTCTTTTTGGTAGAAGAGCCACAGTGAAGACGCATCTTCCGCAAAACCGCACTCGGGACAAATCATTTCTCTCTGCTGACCTTCCCCGCTTCTCAGTGGATTCGCATATGACCTACTTGAGAAGGGCTGCCTTTATGTCCACCCTAAAGGCATGAAAAAGAGAAATGCTTTCTCTCTCCTTTCCCCTCTCTCATTCTAAAATCAATCAAAACATTACTTTAAATGAAAAAGATCAATGCTGGATTTGGCTCTTGAATATTTAATGGAAGCCAGCATACTGCCCCCTCCAGCCCACACACTGGGGAGTGGAGGGCGGCTTCCGGGTGCCAGGTTGACTGAACACCCGAATCCCACCCCAAGGGGCACAAAGGGGTGTTGATTGCAAATGTTTGTGTGAAGCAATTCCTATGCCTTTGCATCTCGATTTCATTGAGGAAATTTGACAGAGACTCTATCCTGCATTTAGCTCAGGGCACCCAGCCCTCTTAATTTCAAGTCTCCAGTGGCCATCCCTGTTCTGCTGGTGGCAAAGTAGTGATCCTGTCTATTTTCTGGTGTGTTTGTGGAAATCCAGTCGAGCCGCTGGTCTCCTGGAGAAGTTAAGCCCTTCATTCATGAGCCTGGGCCATGGGGCTGCTGGCCCTGAGCAGGGCAGTCACCAGGACACAGAGATGAGGCCCTGGCCATAGCCTGGAGCACGGTGTCTGCAGTCACTTCTCAAGAGGATGGGGTGGGCAAAGGCAGGGCGAAGCCCATGTCACTGCTGTCTCAGGAGACCCCTGACCTGGGTTCCCAAAACTGAGGGAGGAGGAGCAGACGGCCCTGACTGGGAATCGTGGAGTGAGCCCCACCCCGCCACTCCTCTGAGCCTGCCCAGTGACGCTCCGAGGACCAGCAAGGCACCCAGGCCACTCCAACAGCCCCGGACTGAGGTCCTCTGCCCGCGCTGCCTGCCCAGCAGTAAAACCTGCCCAGCAGTAAAACCTGCCCTTAGTGGGACGCAGTAAGTAAAGGCAGAGTTGAATGCATCGCCCAGTCAAGCATCTGGACAAATTGGGGCCCACTTGTCCCTCAGGGCTGCCACTTTGACACAACTGCGTGGTCTTGAAAATGGCAAGGACAGGGCTTGACAACGTCAGGCTCTCCTGTAAGATTCTAAACAAAATAATTCTGTTGCCAGGTCCCACTCCACCTCCTGGGTTTACATTCCAGGGCATATGCACTGGCTCCTTTCCATCGCTAGGCACTGGACAGGACCACTGCTTCGTTGCAGCGAACAGGGATGGCCACTGGACACTTGAATGGACACTGGACACTTAGGGGGCTGTGCATCCTGAGTTAAATGTGAGACACACTCTCTGCCAGCTTCTCCCATTGAAATCTACATGCAAAAGCACAGGGTTTTCTGTACACAAACGTTTGCAGTCAACCTCACTGGAAACACTCATTTTTTATTCTGAAAGTATCTATTTGAATTTGCACACAAAACCTTCACTTCTGCCTTGTCTTCTGCAGTTTCTCAATACTCGACCTGGAAGAGGTGGGTGACATCGTCAACTACAAATGAGGACTTGGAGGCCCAGAGACCAGAGGCTTGTCCCAGGCACCAGATGTGCAGAGCAGCACCGCGACCTCACATGACAGCCATGTGGCACACGTACAGGAGTGCCAGCTGGTTCTGACTTCGTTTTACCGACAGGAAGCCCCACAACGCCCTGTGTGCACCCAGAGATCTGAAACCTTCCAGCCCACTCGGGCGACAAAAGAAACGCAAGGGCTCTGGGCGGAGACGGGACGCACGTGCCAAGGCTCTGGGTCTGTTCTGACCCTCGGCACTGCCCCGGCCACCTCCGTGGAAACAAACCCCCTCAGACGTCAGGGCCCGACCACCAGCCTGGCTCCCCAGCCCCAGACAGACACCATTCAAAGTACTGCAGCTTTAGCCAAACAGGGACAGACTCACAGATGGAGAGCAGGCGATGGCTTGTGGGATGGTGGAGGGACTGAGAGAAAAGGAAAGAGGATGCAGGGACAAAAATGTGGTGATTGCTGGGGGGCGGGGGGGTGTAAGGGGACTAAATGGGAATGGGAAAAATACAGTAAAGCTCAAATAAAAATCATTAAGAAACACTGTCGTTGCTTAGGAACCCAGAATTTAGCATGACACAGGCGACTCAAGTGAGGCTCACCAGAAGCAGAGGCCCCCACCCGGGAGGCTCCTGAGGCTTCTCCTGGGACAAACGTGCCTCAGACTCACCTGAGGGGCTCCCCCCAGGACATGGCGCAGCGGACATGGTTCACAGGCCCCGTCTGTTCGGCAGGACCAGACCCACTTAGAGAAGGCCGCCGGAGCAGGGACCGGTCGTCAGCAGAATGCTGTGGTGAAGCTGCGAGCTCCAGTGCCACCTGCCCGGTCACAGCTGTTATGAACATTCACGTCACAAGGCAAGGGGACATCCATCTGCCCGTGTTTCAGGTACTTCCTTCCCCAGAGACATCACAGGTACAGAACACCTGCACACAAATCCCCAGCAGATGTCCCGCTGCTTATCTCAGTGGTGTGAGTGTGGGTGTTTACCATCAAACTGCCGGCATCAGAAAGTCAACTAGAGAAGGGAGCAGGTGAGAACCGTGACCCCAGGGCAGAGGCCTCTGCTGGGAGAACCCAGAGTGTTCCCCGCTGCACACACTCTGGGGCTCTGCCAGCCTTGGGGTGAGGCCTCCTCAGGGCCAGTCTCCAGCCCCCTGGGCACCGGGACACTGCAGCCAGGACACTGGCCAGGGGTTCGGATGTGGCCCACTGTTCCCTCCAGGCACCCGAGCCCTCACCGCCAGCTGTCTCCTCGGCCACCGCCCTGCTGGCTCCCAGGTGGCCTCTGCTCTCTTCCTGTGCTCGGCTCTGCTAGCAGGTCAGTGCAGAGGCCACCCGTCCTTGGCTCTGGGGCTGAAGGGCAGGCCCGCAGCTCCTCTGCCCCCGAACCCCTTCTCCCTGAGGACTGCCTGGAACTCAGAACCCCTCCATCTCCCGTTTTGAAAAGCCGTCCTTAGACTACCTATCGGCAACGAGTGGCTGGCCCAGCTCACCCTTCCAGAACCATCCCCACCCACCCAAGCTGACTTGGAAAAGCAAGATCAGGCCTCCATGACCCTGGAGGTCCAATACTGAGGAAACGAGAGCCCACTGGAACCAGGAGAGGCAGTTGGTACGTCCCTCACTTAGATGCCTCAAGCCCATCCCAACACACACGACAATGGCATGTGAACTCTGGGGCAGTGTTCTCCAGGGCCTGTCCTAAGACCAGCCGGGGTCTGGGCGGGGAGCAGGAGGAGGCAGCGGGGGAAGTGAGGAAGACTGCGCGCAGGCACCTCGAGGTCTGGGTGAGCTGGTGAGCCAGTGCCCATGTGTAAGAGAGAAGCAGTAACAAAAACACACCACGGGGTTCAGGGGAAGTACTCTTGCTACACTCTTTCTAAAAATAAAGTACCAAAGTAAAATAAAGACTGCTGAGAGCCAACACTACTGACCACGATAACCCAGCACCAAGCACTGGGTGGGGCAGGTGTTCCATTCATCATCTTCCTTTCGGCTCCCAGTGCCCCTGTGACTCAGGCACACAGCCAGGGCAGTTGTGGGCGGAGTCAGAGTCTGGCCCAGAGTGCCAACTGGGAACATGTTCCTAGCCACTCAATAACCACATCCCACCAACTCCAGACTGGAACGTTCTGGGTGCTCTGTAGTGTGGGGAGCGCTTCCCAGTTAAGGCCTGGTGAGAGCACCGGTGCCCAAGGTGGCCTGCTGGCACCCTGGCCACGCGGACCATCCCTTGGGGCCAAGCATCAGCTCCTTTAGAGGACGTGAAAGACTGCTGGCGCAGGGACTGCTCACCCTGAGAGTCCCTGGGAAGGAGCCGTGAGCACCCACTCACAGGTGAGAGCAGCCACTGATGACCTGGCACAGGCGGGCATCTGTGTCCCTACAACTGTCTTTGCAAAATCAGCCAGGCCACAGTGTTCTGACTCCAGCTCTAACCAAGACCAGTCACTGTCCTGCTGGAGAAGAGCAGCAGGAGGGTGCGTGCATTTGGCAGAAAGAGGAACTGCCATGCAGCCAACACCACTTCCTCCAGGGCCACCCTCAGAGGACTGAGGGTTGGACAGCTGATGGCCTGGGGGCTGATGCCCTGAAGCCAGCTCTTCTCACTCTTCCTTCCGACTTTTCCGAATGGACTCTCGGGCAGGCTCAGGCTGAGGAGCCTTCAAGATAGGCAGCTTGTGAGGACTCACCTCAGCATTCCCTGGCAGCAAGCGCTGCTGTACTAGCGGAGGAAAGGGCTGGCGCCCCGCATGCAAGGGGACCGTTTCTTCAGGTCCTGAACAAACCGTGATATGTGGTCGGTGCTAAGAACATACCCAGAGCCACATCCTCAAGCAAAGTGTGAACTAACACCCACTGGTGGCTTCAGACAGGCTGGCGCGGCCCTCGCGGGTGCGCGAGACACTTGCAGCCGTGCAGCCATACTAACTTAATCTACCATCAACTATTTTATGAGACAGAAACTGTAACTGCTACCTTACCTTCATGTTCTAAATTTGTTTTGCATTTTAGAAAAAAATATGGTTAAGTGGGTAATAATTGAGAAAGCAACAATGCAGATACATTCTGATAGATTAATTACCCTCCCCCAGAGGATTCCTGGTGCAGTAAAGCATAATTCTTTAAGTCGTCTTGAAGCTGTACAATGAAAGGATGAACTGACTTAACTGTAAACTAGTTAACTGGCTCCAAATCAAGTGTTGAATAGCCAGTGATTGCCCTACAACAACCCAATGGCCAAGAGCAGTTAATAAAACCAACTCAGTATATCGTCCCAACCAGCGTGGCTGTTGGTTGGGCACTGTCCTGGAAAGGAAAGGTCACTTGTTCAATTCCTGGTCAGGGCACGTGCCTTGTTTGTGGGTTCAGTTCTTGGTTGGGGCACAATTGGCTGCAAGGGGCAGCTAATCAGTGTGTCTCTACCATTCTCCGTTCATTCCACTGTCTGTAATATAAATAAAATAAAATCTGAATATGAAAACAGTAATACTGGAGTAGAAATGCTAGTGGATGAGCAGTAAAACCGACTGTTTTAAAAGAAAAAACTGAAATGTCCATGCCGTGAAAGGAAAATCATAGCTCATAAAAGATGACATCTGCAAGCACGAGGCAGGTAGTGGGCATTGCACTAGAGGTCAGGGGTGGGGGCGGTGCACCTGTCCTGTTCACCCTCCCTCACCAGAATCCAGGTTGGTGTGGGCCTGGCACAAATATACAGGGAAGATCTCAGGACCTGGGACAGTGCCTGCCAGTTTCTGAGGAAGTATATGCCCCCCCAGGTTGAGCCAGACATACTGGGTCCTGGAAGCAGCTTTGAAAGGTTCTCTGCCATGATTTCAGCGACACCGGTCACAGCTCCCTTGCACTGGAAGCTGTGGCCTCTACTAAGGTCCTCTGACGTGTCCCACATCGTAAAGGGCCAGCCTTGGGCAAAAGTCTGTAACTGACAGGCTGTGCTGTCCCCACCCCCACACACCCCAGCCACCAGCACTTCGGCTTTGGGCCCGAATCCAGGTCAAGGCCACTGCAGACCCCAAGCAAAAGAACTATGCCAGCCAGCGCCCACACACTACATGCTTTTTTATTACAAGACTACCGCGCATACATGTAAAATTCATCTGGCAACTACAGCTATAGCACAAATATTTGAAAAAAGAAACAGATTCATTAAATTATGATATGATTAAATCATTGACCACATAGAAAATTTATATAATAAAGCCAGAAAAAAAGTTGTAAAATATAGATTACAATAATTATTCACATTCAAGGCTGTACATCAATACATATAACAACGTGGCCCCGAACATGAATTCAATCCAAACAATTCATATATTAGACTTTAAATAACACAGACTGAATTAGAGGCCAACAGTAGCCAGCAAATAACCTTATATAAGAATAAAAATACAAAAGTGTATATCCTAATATCATTGCATTATTTGTTTTCATAAGTTTTTTTTTAAACGTTTGCTTTGCCTGTACATCACAGTTACAACTACAGACCAGGTAGAGAATATTACATGTGTTCTAACTGCCACCAACCTGAAAGACAGCTACCATCCTATGGACTCATCCAATTTCCTGATCAGGAACAGATACGGCAGCTCTAAATACTGCAAAATTTGGTTTTGTCAACATCCAATCAAACTTAGGATGGTAATAGAGGCTTTTCACCTGTAAAACGACTCCTATTTACAGCCATTCAGCCAGATGGGTTAGATGAGGGTGGATTACACAACTGAAAAAGGTTTGCCTTCTGTAAAAAAGCTTTGCCTGCACATCAAATTTGGTGTTTCCTCCTACTAAAGAGATGCGTAATGGGAAAACTTCAGGCATACACGTAGGCTTGTTCAGGGGCACACCACAGAGCTCCAGAGAAACTCGCTCTTTGCTGGACCGCTTCTGCCCCAGACCAGTTATCCACATGCAGCCTGATCGAGAACCCTGCCTGTGCCCCCCAGAGGCTCTCGGAGTGACCCCTGGCCCTGACTGAAAGCACTCTGCAGGCAGGCTGCCCAAGAGGCCAGGGCCACACCCACTTGGGTCACCATCGGTTCAGATTAGGTTTGGATAGGAAAAGAAACAATATGGAAACACGCACATGGCAGCATCTCCAAGAACAGTACCATCACCAAACTCTCCCAGCAGTTGCGCCCTCTGCCGTCTGGGCAGAGAGCACCCTCAGTCCATGGACTGACCGGCGAAGGGAGGGGTTATCAGAGGAGGGCAGGAGACCCGACTCTACAATTCAGCCACAATCTCTGGCAGAGGCAAGTAGCACTGAGCACGGTACCTAGAAAACCTCTTGTGCGTGTTTCCCTTAGGAATTGATGGGCCCCAAACTGAAGTGGAGAAAGTAAGAATGAAACCAAATTTGGGTGGTCTGGAATTGACAAGCAGACAACCTGCAACACTGGGTGAGGAGTGGGGAGAAGTCTTTGAAGCCGTATCAGCCAGGACAATCACATTCTCCCATGGAAATGCCCGGCCAGGCGCTGGACTGAACCAAGTCCCTCTCACCAAACCCCAGGGTTTGAAGGGCACCAAGGGCTGGGGCAGGGCACACACTTGGTAAAACCCAACTGTCCACGCGGTTTCTTTTTCAAGTAGAGCCTTTGCTCCTTCACTGATTCCAAATGGTTCAGCATTTTCTGAGTCTATAAACTTAACAAACAACCCTCCTCCAAGCATGTGGCAAGAACAGTTCAACACTTTCTGCTGATTGTGCAGATGCAAATTCAGTACCATTGTGGACACAAAGTACAAGATTCTGAAAATATCACCAAGCACTTGAAAGCTGTAGCAGCAGGGGTAGGAAGTAACTAACATGCAAGTACACCAGATTCTTTCAATGAAAATAAGGGAATTGGCTTTTGGAAAAAATAAAATCTGTCACAAATAGACTGCAGCGATGACATTTTTAGCATTAAAAAAAGAAAAAGAGCAGTCTTATTCAAACAGTGTTTGAATAAGAGTTTGAACAGAGTTTACTGAGAATTCATTTCTTCAAAACCTGAAGGATAACAGCAGAGCTCTGAGCGTCCGAGCACCAGACCCAGATGGAGATGGACCAACACTCACTGAAAACAACACTTCTGGGATGACAGGGGATTGGAGTGAAAAAAGTCAAAGATTTAAGAGGATATTCATCACAGCATTATTTAAATAGTGAAAAGCCAGAAACCATCTAAATGTTTTATAATGGAAATAAATTATGATAAAATTTCTAATCATTAAAACTCTACAATCAATAAAAATATTTCTGAATCGTTGTTCATGACATGGAGAAATGTTTAAGATAAAATTATCAAAGCTGGATGCAAAAGAGTATATGTTATATGTTCCCGGTTTAGATAAAAAGGCAAAAGTATTAGGGAGTGGTGGGGAGAGCTTGCTATACACCAAAATGTTCACAGTGGTCTTTTCTGGGTGGTAAGCCTACGGTTGACTATTTTCTAGAAGACAAATGTTTCAAAAGTACTGAGTCACTAGAGCCCCCAGGGGTGGGTGGGGGCGGTGTGTGTATCACTGTGCCACAGGGGCATCTCCCACAATCCCTTCAGGCCTGGGCCACAAATACCACAGTGTGTCCCAAGGGCCTGGAGTAGGTGCGGTCCCTGCCAGTGTCGACATGACCGCGGGACCTGTGTTTCCCAAAGCAAGCCTGTCACAAGCTGCTGGAGAGTCGGGTTCAGAATTGCAGGCAGCTGGTGGTACCAATCTCCAGTGGGGCTCTGCATTCCACAGGGGCTGCCTGCTGCCTACGGCCCCGCCAGGCCTACAGAAAGAGGAAAGGAAACCTACGCAACCCAGGTTACTTGAGTTCCCAGACAGGCAAGGCACAGTGGGGACCACAGAACCTCCTGGATGTCCTCCCTCCCCTCCGTGCCGAGAGAGGCAACATGGTGTGGGACAGTCTCCAGTTGGCAGATACTTGGTTTGGCACTAACACTCGTCCTTGCCCTCTCTCAGTGAGACACACAGCTCCTGGGTCTATTAAATAGAGCATTTTCTTTCTCACTTTGGATAAATCCGTGTATTTCCGTGTGTCTCTGTGATGTTCGTAGACCGACGCCCTCATCCACAGCTCAGAATGTAAGGCACCTGCATGCCGAGATGATGGTTATAAGGATAAGTTGGGTAAAACTAGAGTTGTCAGAAGTGCAGGGTAAGAAAAGAATATGTACGGGCCAAAACAAACGAACAAACAAAAACCCAGACTCTGAGCGAGCAGAGAAAGTTGACTTACAGAGAAGGGCTCAACTGTCACTGGCTCAGCTTTGAGCTCAACCCTGAGGCCCTTACTCTCTGGTTTCAGAGGTTCAGATGGAGCTCGTTGGTTAAGCCCAGGAGGTAGTGGCGCTATCCAGAGGGCAGAATGCTAGGCGAGGACTTGTCTCCTTAGCAGCCCAACTGAGCGCGCCTGATAAAAACAAACACCATCTGCGCTCGTTTCCTGTAACGAGACGCTGGGAGAAACGCTGTGCAGGAGTGCGTCCCCAACTCCTCTCACTGCACACGCAGGTGGGTATTTTGAGAAGAGTAAAGTGTAAATATAGGAGTAAGCCTGAAGTACAATTCTCAAAAGGGACAGGTCAGGCTCACTTTTTGAAAAGCAGGTGAACACAGGCAAGCCTATCAAAAGCGAGGAGGAGGAGGAACGAGGAGGGAGCTGGATCCGAGCGCAGACCGGCTCCGACACCCTGGAGCTCCTCCGCTGCCGCCACACGCGCACAGACGGGACCGTCTCAGACCTCACAGCGGACGGCAGGCCCGAGCAGAGACGAGCGCAAACCTGGCTACCACGTCTGCCCCCACCTAAACCGCTCTCCCTGCCCAAACGGTACCCTTCACATCCACACTTTTTCCTAGTCACTACTCTGATCACTCAAACAGTGTGAAAAAGGCATCTTTCCTCTCCATTTGGACCGCGGGTCACACAGGGTGACGGACCAGTGGGCTTGAGACAGGAGATGGGGCAGGGAAGTGGTGAGGCGGTCTTTCCTGTGTGAGCCTTTTGCTGGTGCCTTGGTGAAAATCTAAAGGAAAAGGGTGTTCATGCCCTGGGCACAGGGCCAGCTCCTCTCCCACCTGGCACCAAGGACTACCCTCCAGTGACACCTGGCCAGGGTGAGGAATGGCCAAGACCCCCTGTCCGGGGAGCAGCAGCAAAGAATATCGAAGGACTAATAGGACCTGGACCCCGTGTACTTTACAGTAGGGTGGGCACTGCCTCTAAGCAGCTGAGAGAGAGAACCTGAAACAAAAGAAGAGCAGGCCAGGTGCTTGGGTTCCCTCGCGGTGTGCGTGCCCCTCCGGCAGGATGCAGGAACCGCTCGGTGGGGACCCGATGATCTGGGCCAACGAGAAGGTGTTTAGAGTCTTACAGTTGGGATGTAAAAATGTTAGACTGCGAGAATGTTCAATCACAACATGAAAAGGATGCGTGTGCTGGCCAGGAGCCTGCACGGAGTGCCATCCAAT